ACGGCGGCGCTGCCTTGAGCTGAGCCCTGTGCTTCCCAGGTGGCTGAGCAGGGCCTCCTAGTGCAGAGGGGAGCCCAAAACCAGCCGGTGATTGACACCAGGGGAGTCAGCAAAGCCCTCTGCCCTCCCAGGTGCTTCTGGGCAGGCTGTCAAAAGGAAGGCACAGAGAGCATTTCCGTGATATGTCCAGTTACAGCTGGAATTGTCCAGAAACAGACAGGGCCGGGTTATCGGTGGAAGGGAGATAGAGAGAGGCATTTTGCATAGAGGGGCCCTGGGACCCTGTGAGCCCATCTGTGAGCATTTGCTCACACTGTGGGAGCCCCTGTGCTGGGTGGCCACCCTGCCCCCAGCTCCCTTGCTGTGAAAGGGAGCAGCAGCACTGCAGGATTCTTGTCGGTCTGGGGTCTGTGTGCGAGGACATGCCGTCAGTAATGTCTGCTAACTGGGAGCTGTAGCTTTTTATCATAAACCCCGGCTTTTAGGGAGCCCTCATTCAACACTGCCCTGGGCTTACCTCTCCCACATCCCCCTGACTGTAGAGGACGTAGACCACTTCCCCATGGGCCTGGGGGCCAACCCCTGAGTTCATACCGTTTCCCATAGTTCTTTAAAGGGTCATACTCCATCTTAACGTATGTGAATCTTCCCGTTACATTCTAGCACGAACGATTATTCAAATTGTCAGAAGCACTGAAAAATGTGTCAGTGTGAGATAAGATGGGACGTCTCTTTGCAACTACATCTGATATTTCATGAGCTCCTCTGGGAAGCTGTACCCCCAACTGCAGCAGGACAGTAGGGACAGCAGATACAGGGATTTAACTTTGCTCCATGGCTGGGATTTAACTTTGAATTAGCCCGTGTGCGGGTGGACATGTTCCTTCTGGGACTGAGAGAGCACGTGGAAGATGGTCCCTTTCTTTCTAGAAGCAAACGTCGGCAGTGTCCCAGCTAAGCTTTCTCTCATCCTCAGTGCTAGGATCCCCTGTGGTCCCTGTACTTTGTGCAAGATGCACGAGACTCGCGCCCACTCCCACCCACCCAGCCTCCTTCCCGGCACGATCCACCCTCTCTCTCCCTTTCCTGCCTTGCGGTGAAGGACTTGCAGCCCGATCCAAGCCTCAGGCCAGGTAGCCCAAGGGTCCCGTGGACCACCCTCAGTCGCGTTCCGTGTGCCCAGCCTGAAGGGGGAGGGTGGGGTGGGCTTCACCAAAGAGGAAGGTGACCGCAGTCAGAGAGGGAGCCGATCGCTAGGCAACCTGGAGCTTGTTACCCGGGTAACGGATCCAGCACTGGCACTGTGGATGGACATCTCGTGACGATGGCCTCGGCCTTTCAGGTGCGTTGCATGGCTCCAGATTGCTGCCCTGTGCTCAGCATCGTTTTCCTGTGTGGCCACTTTTTAATGAACAACTCGGATTTCTCATGGTAACCCCGCAGTCCGTCTAACCATCCCGTCAAGCAGGGTGGTCCTCGCCCCGTGGGTGGGGCGGCCAGGGGGCAAATGAGGACCTGCCCTCTCGGTCTGGGACTGCCCCCCGCCCGTCCCCTCACAGGAGTCTGTGAATGAGGGTTTGGCCTTTTCACCATTTTCTTGGTAGAAAGGAAGCGCCGAAGCAGGAGCTCTGTGCCTCGGTTTCCTCGTCTGGTTAAGGGGACGGCGGTGCTGTCGCATGTCTTGAGGATGAATTGAGAAGGTGTCAGCTTTCTGTGTGAGATTCCTGCATCTCATTCTCTCTCTGCGTGGTCTAGTGTAGAAGGGGGTCTCCACGGGTCCTGTCTGATGACATCACCCTTGGCCCCTGGGGGAGCCTCCTCCCTGTCATCCTGCCCCGTCTCCTCGTGGGACCAACCTGCTTGCTAGGCCAACAGGAATGTCGGGCATGTGAGCTGGGGGTTCTCCCGTTCCTCACCCGACCGTGTGGGTCGTGGACCAGTGAGGATGTAGAGGGGGCAGCCCTCGTCTCTGTCCCCCTCACACCTGCTCTGTCCTGTGCTCTTGATGCAGAAGGATGTTGGGGTTCGGGCTCACTTGGGCGTCCTGTTTGGGGATCTGGGTCTTGGGGTGGCAGCAGGAGCAATCTGGGTGCACACTAGCCTTCGTGTCTGAGCATCAGGGTTCAGCCGCCACTCACAGGCCAGGAGGGACCATGATTCCCAGCCCGGGGTGAAAGGAGAGCTGTGCGTGACCCTGGGTCCACCCAGAGGTGGCGTGCACCCCCCGCTACCCGGCCCTTTCTCCTGAGGCTTAGACAGAAGCCTTTTCTTTGCTCCATGTTCAAAGACATGATTGTCCCGGGTGCCGCAGCTGTGGGGTGGTAGCAGAGCCCCCTCTGCTGTGGTGGCATGGGCGCTGCGGGCCACCCCTCCTCCGACCCCTCCACTGGGTGCCGTGGACACCACTCCCATTGAGGGAATTTTCCTTTTCGGCTTCGTACTGAAGTGTGAAAGGTGAGCTCTGGTGGCCCAGGAGGGGACTTACATGTCTGGGGCACCAAGTGGCCAATTCACAGACTGCCAAGAGCCCTTTAGCGTGGTCTGGGCTGAGAGGTGGAGCCCGCAGAGAGGAGTGTGGCCGGGGCAAAGGGCTCCTGCTTTTGCTTGCTGGAGCCTGCGCCCGCCACCTTGCAGTCCCACAAAGACTAACTGGTCCTGGGAGCATCACGCGTCCCTGGTAGGGTCCCTGAAGCTTAATAAAGCCAGGGGCCCAGGGTGGCCTCCACAGGAGAAGACAGGCAGATTGTGCAGGAGGAAGGGGACAGAAGTGAGCTGGGCCCGGGTGTCCAGCTTCAGAAGGAACGAGGGACCAGGGGCCTCAAGCAAGGGCTGTCATCTGGCCAGAAACGTCTCACGTCCACCGGTGCTTATCTGAAAGCTTAAAATGCCCAGAAAGCCATCTTGTTTTGATTTTTCATATGACAGTGAAGATTTCCAGTTTGGTAGGAGAACAGACACCGCCCCTCCCTGCATCTCAGTGGTCTGGTCCCCCGAAGCCCGAGTGGTGGTTGTCTGATGTCCGGGGGTGTGGGTCATGCTGACGCGACGTCAGGCAGGTGATCAGGAGGGGCTATGTGGTC